ACCAAACTTACTACATGAAAAAAAATCGCGCACATTTTCAAAAACAATGATTGCACAAAAATGCACATAATGAAAAAAATTAATCTTACTTCTCTATCATTTTTATTAAACTTTGATCAAAATTTCTTTGACAAAGTATTTCTCACTTCAAAAAAAAAATAAAAATAATTATTCAAAAACACAATAATCTTCAACATATGGGGTCTGTACTAGGAAAATCGAGTTTCCAGACAAAAAATCTATTTTTGATAACAACCCTTATAACCCCCTCTAAGTGGGAATGAGTGATAGTGTGCACTTAGAGAAACAAAGCATTTCATTGGTTGCATGTGACACCAATAAAGAATAAAATTTATTAATTAATTATAACATCATCATTATCATTAAGATTATATTGTAGTTTGCCTCATTGTATTTATTACTTTCAAACTAATATATCTATCAAGAGAGTTAAACCAGTTTTATTTGTTGACTAGAAAAAACAATTCATATTTTTGAGAATTAGATAAAGTTACTACTCTTTTTGGATTTTTGGAGGCATTTTATTTAGAAGCAATAAAAGAATAAAATATTTAATGAGATGAGTGCGAGTGCAAAAATTAGATGGTTGGATATCTAAGAATATATATTATTTTTAATTTGGGGCATGCTGCAACAAAGTGAACATTTATATTACCAAGAATTTCAGGGATCAAAATTTGTAATGTGATTATTAAAATCTCCCATTTGTTTGTTATCTTTGTTTTTTCCTTAATATCAAATGATATAAAATTACTCCTATATAAAAATAATTAATGTGAAAATCATTTATATCAGGTCTACTATAGAACTCAAGAATTATAGTACTATCAGAAGTATTTTAAAAGAGGAACAAGGTGAAAAAATTGCTCCTTACATTTTCAAAATAAATGATACTCAGACAATTGAAGCTTATCTAAGAAAAGAAAGGATTACCTATGAAATTTATCAAGAAGAAAGAAAATAATAAACATCAGGAAAAGAAATCAGAATGAAGGTGTGCTATTACCTAACAAAAAATAGAAATCCTTAGAAGGAAAAAAATGAAGTCTTATGATTGAACAATTAATCTACCTTTTCCTTTTAATTCTTTTAGTAACATAAATCATAGCAATTATAAAAACCTAAGATTAAAGTTATACCTGCTATTCATAATCCAATAGATTTACCATCAAAATTTTCTTCATTCTTTGAAATATTATTTTTATATTCCTCTGGATCTTTGGCAAAATCTTCATCTTTTAAATCACTCACAGTAGTTTTAGCATGGTAAATATTAGGACCTTGTAGTTCTTTGCAACACTTGTAGTCAGGCATTACATAAATTTTTTCAGGCTGGTTAACAAAAACCTTACTAGTTTCCAAAATTATTCTAGGACTATCATCAATAAAGATGTCAAAATCAGAATATTTTTTCTTTATGTAATCAGGGCGGTCAGGTTTTTTTACACCATTGACATCCTTGAATTTTACTATACCTAATTTACAATATCAATCAATAGACATAAAAGAATTTTGGCTATTGAGTTAAAGTGTTCAAATAATTTCAGATATAATCTCAGCAACTATGAAAAACTATTTCTAAAATTTCGGAATTGGCAACAATTACCTATTAAGAGAGTCAATTTCAACTAACATGTAGTCTACACTAATTGTTTATTGGAGTTTTGGCAGTCACCAAGAGGTTTTAGCAAGCAACCTTAATGTGATGAAGGGGATTCATTTTATAAGGTATCCATTAAGGAATTTCAGAAAACCAAAATGTCTAGAGTAATAAAAAATTTTTAGAACAAAACCCTCCTAAACCTCCTCCTAAACCTCCTTCTCAACTCCCTCGCCTTCAACCACATTGCCTGGTTTGTCCTCATAAGCCCCTCATTCTCCCTCAACCTTTACAATTTATCCTATTTCTAATCAAATGTTCCATCCTCCCTAATTCCCCAGGGTGATTTAAACCCCTTCCACACCTCCCCTATATCAACGATCCCATCATTTTCTTCATCACCATCTTCATCCTCCTCACCCTCACCCTCATCACCACCATCACTATCTTCTGCCATCACCACCTCTAGCACCTCATCATCCTCATTATTATCACCATCATCTCCTCCACTGCCTCCACCTCACCCACTTCATCCTCTTCACTATCCTCTTCATTCTCCTCCTCTCTGATCAAAACTCTTTTTAATAAATTTAATATTTCTGATGTGCATCAGTTAATTAGTTTGAAAAGCAAAGCAAGCTTTCTCAGAAGATGACACCTCATCAAACTTCTGGATCTATTCATCATCACCAAATTCATCATCAGTTCTAATAAAAAAAATTTAAGTTTATAAATATTTAACTAGAGTGACATCAAGTTGTAACAACCACATCCTTTAAACACTTACGTATTTCTTTTATTGGGATCTGTATTTTCTTTTCTTCTTTGATTAATATTTCTTTTAAGAAGACAAATTTTATTTGATCAACAAATGCATCATTAATTATTTATTATCAGTTGCAGGACATTGCATATCTAGTCAGTATATATATATTGTAATTAAATCAAAAGAATAAAAAAAATAATTAAAAAAACAATAATATAATATACAATATATATATTTTTACATGCATAAATTTAAACAACTAACTACCTTTCATGTAATCAACAAATCACATAATGTCTACAGTTCACTCTTTCTATAATGAACACTAAATAGAATCTCTATAATAATAATGAACTCTCCTTTTGTCCTTGATCCATTTTTTTGTAATTAACTTCTCTCTCTATAACAAACAAAGGCATTTGAATGTTTTGTAATTGTATATTTTTATTTTTTTTCAAAGTAAAAAAATAAAATTTTTGCACACCTTAATAAATTTATATATAAAATTTGAAATCTTTGGTTCATTACAAAATCTTGCAGTTTGCAGGATTAACGGGATTATTTTTAACCAAAATTAAGTTTCCAACGAAAGGTATATTATTGCAAAATATTTTTGGGTTTTACAATTATTTTTGATCATGTTATTATTTTTTCTATTTTAAATAATTGAATTAGAACGGTCACACAATAGAAAAAAGATCGCCAATCGATTTTGCCACATGTGACAAATTCAAATGTCCGCCATGCTGTTTCATACTATCACTAATTTTTTTTTTCAACCATTTTCTATTATTAATTAATATTTTTTTATATATATTTAGAAATGTAATGATTAAAATTAAAGGCATTTATTTATTAGTGACATTAGCAGGATGTTATCATATATATAAGCTAAAAGAAAAGAAAATTTTGTTGATTTTGATTAAAGTTTCATTAATGATTATTAATGGTTTTATTTTTTCATGTATAGCTATTTTGCTTCCCAAAGTTATAAACGTTTCAAGATTTTGACTATTGAAATCAATTTAATTAATTAAAGAAAAATTGCCTTTGCATAAACTGTTATAACTCATCATACATATATAACAACGCCAAATTTTAGATACTTTGATGTACCTTCCCATTGCAAATGTAATTTTTGTCATTCCAACTCTTTAAAATCGAAATCTATGATAACATTAGTATTAGGCATGCAAAATTTGTTATTGTCAAATTCAATTTGTCCTAGAACTTACGTATGAACTGGCTCGAACCATGATTTTCGATTCGAACCAAACTTACTATATATATACATGGAAAAAAATCGCGCACATTTTCAAAAACAATGATTGCACAAAAACGCACATAATGAAAAAAATTAATAAAATAATAGTATTTTGTTATTTAAGTCGAAATTATACATGCTAATCTTACTTTACTGTCATTTTTATTAAACTTTGATCGAAATTTTTTTGACAGAGCATTTCTCGCTTCAAAAAAAAAAAAAAAAAATGAATTGTTCAAAAACACACAATAATCTTCGACATATGATGATTCACGTCTTGGATAAACATTATGCTGTTTTGAAATTTTTATAAAAAACATAATTTTTTGAACAAATCCTTCAAAAAATTTTAAGCTCAAAATGTCACTTTAACTGAAAGTCAATGTGGCGAAATTATCAGTCTTTTATGAAAACAATATATTTAATATCTATAATTTTTGTCTCACATCATTAAAAAATATCATTTACGAAAAGAACAGGATTGCCTAAATAAGAAAATCAAAAGATCATTTACGAAAAAGAAAGCTGAATTGCCGGTAGAAAACAAAGACCAAGAAAGAGATGAATTCTTTTTTCCGCATTCATACATTCTTTATCAAATTAATTAATCAACAAACGGGCTATCTTTTATTTATCTGTTCCGCACAAAATGAGAAACAACAATTAATTATTTCCATAAAAGTACAATCAATCTATCAGACCCGAAAGTAAGCATAATCGCTACGACAAGATGTGTTTCACAAAAAAATAAACACTATTGCTAAATATCTGCAAAAACGAGCAATAATAACATCATCTTATCTAATATGTAATAAAAATCTTTTTCCTCCTTAGATAAACAAATTTCTAATAAAACCAATGAAATATCTTTCCATAAATACGCATTATTTGTTAAATAAATAATAGGTAAAAATATTTAAGATTGTACGGTACACACGTACAGTAGATCGATCAATTAAACAACAGGTTAAATTTTAAACTTTAAAAAAAAAAAAAACAGGTTAGAATTGTGGATCGTTACTTCTCCAACCAATATATAGATCCAGATTATGACTTTATTACAGTAAAATTATTTATATAAATGAGAAAAAAGCCAGCTCCAAAAAAAAAAATTAAAACAAAATAGTCAATTAAAAAAAATTTAATAAATTACAATGAACCATAATAATAATCATTATAATCAAAACCATAATCATAATCAAAATTGTAATCATATTAATCATGGTTATCCTGTTCCACTTTCTAATGAACAACGAAACATTATTCCTCGACACGCTACCGTCAGTAATAATCTAACGGGCATTGTCAACAATAATAATTATTTAGTTGACCGTGGCTCAATTAGTCCGATGAACATCACTCGTATCAATAATCCGGCCAGTTTTACTACCAATGATAATCTCACTGGCTATTATCACTCAGCTAATAATAATTCTATTGATCAAAATACTCATTATCAAGTCTCTGTTGATAATGATTTCTTTCGTCAAAACTCTAATAATTTCTTTGGAGTCAGTAATAATAATTTGGATCTACAAAATAATAATAATAATAATAACTATAATGATTTGACAAGAAATCAACTGATTCTCATGGCAGTTCAGCTTCAAAATATTGTTAATCAACTGTTAAACCGTTAAATAATAACAACAACAACAACAGAATAATGATATTAATAAATTATTTTACTTTACTATTTATTAAATGGGCATCATTTTTTTAAAATTATAATTAAACGCAAATAAAAGAAAAATGCCTATCTAAAATTCGTGGTTTGTGTAGTTGAAAAAAAGTTGTATATTAGAAAAATCGAAATGCCCATGTAAGCAATTAACTAGAAAGCATTGAAATTTTTGATCACTTAGAAAAAATATTCTTCATATAGTCAAAGTCGGAGGGTTTAATTAGTTCGGTTCAAGTTTGACTTAACTCTGAACTTGAACGAGTTTTTTTGAACCTGGACAGAACCTGAACCACACCCGTGAGTTGACTCAAAATCAGTTTAAAGTTTATGCACATGTTCAGGGTTCAAGTACAAAATTTGACAAACAATTTCTAAATGTGGTTAGAGTCGCCAATTTGCTATATAGAAGATAAAAAACCATTTCTCTATTAATTTTTATTATTTACAGTGTAACAAAAAAAAATTGGAAAATTTTATTTGTTTGTTTTTCGATATTGGTTGAATAAAAACGGAGAAAAAACATATCAAAAGAAAACCGAAAATCCGAGGTTTCTATTAATATAAATTTGATATGAAAAATTTTTTTAATTGCTTTCAATATTAAGCAACAAAGTTAATTTTTGATCCATTAAAAATCCAATTACAAAAATCTGTGAACTCATTTTTCACTAATTTGCCAAAAATCATTCCAATTTCAGGAATTTTTAACATTTATTATTTATGTCTCACTTAATAAGTTCACCAAAAAAATTGATGTTTCAATACATAAACATTGTGAATAATCATCATATAACTAACAGAAGGTTTTTAAGTTGAAGCTCTTGTGGGTAAATTTCGAACTTAATAAACTTTCAGACATCCTTTTTAAATCAAAATAGCTTCTTAATCTTTGTAACAACTTTAGGAATGATATTTATATAGTAATTTGCTACTGGAAAGAACAAAAATATTCTTTTCCTAAATTTCACCAATTTTTTTTTGTTACGCACTGTATCTGTATTACTTATTATTAGTACAAATAAAGAAAATGTCTAAAAATTCGTGATTTGTAGCTGGGAAAAAGTGTTGTATATTTAATTGTAAAAAAAATTTGAAAGGCTCATGTGAGCAATTAACTGGAAAGCATTGTAAGTACTCCCAAAATTTTTGGCCACTTAGAAAGGTATTCTTTATATAGTCGAAGTTGGATGGCTTAATAATTTTTTTATAGATGTTTTTTTGAAGGTTTTAATGGATAGTAAAACTCCCTGCATAAGAGATTTATGTCAACAGTTCGTGACCAAATTAAACTTTGAGAGGAACCAAATATAACTATATATATATTTTTATTTTGTTTGTAGATTTCTGAACGGTTACACAAATAACACTATTTACATGTCCATTAATTTATTGACGCAAAACCTTTTCTACAACAAAATGTTTTTCAAAATTGACAAACTTGTCTCAAAAACCTTTATCTTCAATGGAATAAAGCTCACGAGTTAATCAAAAGTTAATCTTTATGTTAAAAATAATAATTATTATACAAGAAAATAATCATTTTGATTCTTTTTAGACCATCACAAGTTTTCCGCGAGAGCTTTCTAAGAGATTATTTATATACAACATTTACAAATCATGTGGTCTTTTCATCTTTCTGTAATACAATTATTTATCTTGCAATTAAAGAATAAAGTGAAGCAACAATTACGAATTTTTTTTACATAGTGTGTGATATTATTTATAAGCTTATATTGATCCTATGAAAAGGTCAACTGCTGTTCTAGATCATGCAGTATTTAATTGTATATTATTGGTATGATTGCTTACAGGAATGTATTACTCTCCCATCCATATTGATATAGATTATGAAAA